AAAGGTATTACTTGACTTTTCTTGGTCACTTGAAGTCAAGTTTTTGAGTAAAGAGGTTTGTAAACAAGAGGGAAAGGGTAGAAGCAACTCTTGAAGTCATATTTCAAGTTGTTTTAATGAAAGTGTTAAGACTTTATTAACAAAGAAGTATAAAAACTTCTTGCGAACATCTTTTTTGTGTGGTCAGAGGATCAGCGAAAAGAGTTTTTTTTTAAAAAATGTGAAATATTTTATAATGTAATGCATACAAATATTTAATATAATATATATATTTAATTTAATAAAGAATTAAAAATAAAAAATAAAAAAGTTTATAGATTAACAATTTTTATTATTTTATTTATTTTTGTAAATATTTAATATTTTTTTTAAATTTTATAAACTTTGAATTTTAATTGTTTTATAATTAGAATTATTGTTATAAGATTTTTTTTTATATTTAAAATATAAAAAACAATATTAATTTGATTAAAACTTTTGAAGTTAATATTGAATTTTTTTAAGTTTACTATAATTTAAATTTTTATTATAACTTTTTTTTTTAAAAAAATTAAACTTTAAAAGAAATTAATATTTTAATTTATAAATTATCTTTTATAACTATAGATCTAATAGTATTTTATAATTTTTTTTTTTTTAATTATTATAAAATTTTTTTTTTAAAAAAATTTTTTTTAAAGTCAATTATATCTATAGTAAAAAAGTTTTTAAAAAAATTGATTATAAAATACTTATAAAATTTTTTAAACAATATTAAAACTTTTTTTAATAAAAAAATAATTTACTCTTTTTATATATTATTTTGATCTTCTTAAAATTTTTATTTTTATAGTTTTTCAAGAAATTTTATCAAAAGTAATTAGTTAATATAAAATACTATATATTAAATTTTAAAATATAAACAAGCTTTTATCAAATATACTCATATATTTATTGATAATAAGTAAAAAAGTTTTATAATAAAAGTTTTTTTTTACATCAAACAAATTTTTAAACAAAATAATTATAATATCAAAATTATATATATGATAAAATTAAATTTTAAAAACTTCAAAAAATAAAATTATTATAATAGAATCAAATATGTTTTAAATATTAATTGATAAAACCAATTAATGATAGAATTATAATTAGAATTACTATATATAACAAGATCAATAATTCTATTATATGTATAATCAAAATATATTATATATAAAAATAATATATTATATTATTTAACTAAGTTTTTAGATGATAAAAAAATTAAATAAAAATTTAATAATTTTTTAGTTTAATTTTGATCAGATAAAATTTTTCTTATAATATAATTTTAATTTTAAAAATAAATCAATGTATTAGTAAAAGAATAAATTTCTTAAATATTTTTGAAGAAAATTTATATATTAAAGATTAGTATTTTTATAAATTAATATAGGCTAGAAGTTAAGTATCAAACTTATTAGGGAAGGGTGTAATATTGTTTTCTAAATTTGACTTGAAATACCTAATTGAAATTTAGTTTTATTGATGAATAGTACAATCTGAAAGTCGATTTAACTTTGAAGATACTTTATTAATATCTCAAATAAAGACACGCCATACTTATCTTTAATTATAGATTAATAAGATAGAGAATCCTACGATATATTATTCGCATGCTCAATCTCAATTTGGAAGGATCTTCTTCTAGTCTCTTCTGTGAATGCAAAATAATGACATCATGCAGATTTGATAACCGCCTTGAAATTATTTTTTAACGACGCCAACGAAAAAAAAAATATCTTTTCGTATCTTTTACATAAACCACAACGAAGAAAATTGCTCATAGAACATCGACGACTATCAGAACATGGTCAATTCACCATTACCCACTGACCTTGCAGGTAAAAAGAAAAACGTTTTTTATGTTCCAGTTTTACATTATTATCAGCGCTCATTATAATCAAATCTTAGGAGAGTGCAAAAAGGCAGCAAAAATTCTGAACAGTTTTATCGGTATGACTGTTACATTTTAGTTTTAGGTGCTTGATCAGAAAAAGCTCACCTTGATCTATCAATGATGTTCCGTTCACAGATCCAGTCGCAGCTGAGGTAAGGCTTAATTAAAAAGCTTGTGGTTTTTATTGAAAAAATGATTGATGTACTGCTTTTATATAGGGCATAGACAAGGTTATTCCAGCTAGTGTATTGCGAAAAGCAAAAGGGTTTGCGATATTTACAGTGATAAAAGCCGGTTTCCTCTTTTCTGGAAGAGCAGGATCAGGTTTGGTTGTTGCAAGGTATTTTTTTTTTTTTTTTTCCTCGTATGCCTTTTTTACCAAGAAATTTGTAGACTTTAATTGAACCTGGACTTTACATTACCTTAGGCTTGAAGACGGATGTGAGTGAGATTCTATGAGGTTTTCACCAATATATTATATTAGCATTACCCTTTGTAACACGGAATTCATCTTGACTAATTAGCATGGTCGGCTCCATCCGCGATCGGAACTGGGGGTATGGTAAGTCATTTATTGATGTATGCATTTTGTTTGTCAAACGGTATCTAAGAATGAGTAATGCCATCATAAATATAGGGTTTTGGCGGACAAATTGGTGCAGAAATGACAGATTTCGTTATTGTTCTTAACAGTAGAGAAGCGGTTAAATCATTTAGTCATGGTGGAAATGTTACTTTAGGGGGAAATTTGTGAGTTCTCATACCATCCATTACAGTCTATTTTTGATAGGGCCAACTTTATTTATTTTGATTCTTTTTCTTATTATAGATCAGGTATTCACAAGACTTCCTAATGAATCATTAGTCTTTTTTTTTTTTGTATTTTCTTTTTTAAAATCATATTCGCTTTGGTTCAGTTGCTGCTGGACCTATTGGTAGAAATGCGGAAGGAGCCAGTTCTTTGACAGTAGGTCACATAGCTGCTATATTTTCTTACAGGTAGACTTTGAATTTTAATGTTATTTCGAAACCTTGTTTCATAAACTGATATTAACATATGGTATCACAGTAAGACCAGGGGTTTATTTGTCGGTAATGTTTCTTTTTCCTACAAGTTTCTAAAACATGTTGTACCTTCAATAATATGATTATTCATTTATTCTCTTTTCTCATTTTTAATAGGCGTGTCTATTGAAGGTTCGGTCATTGTCGAACGAAAAGATGCGAATGCAAAGTTTTATAACCGTAAGGTCACTGCAAAGGAACTTCTTTCAGGAAAAATATCACCTCCGCCTCAGGCCGACATTTTATACCGAGCACTTAATTCCAGAGCTTTAAATAAAATTGATGGCGTGAGTACAATGTATAAGCGTAGGTCGGAAGATGGAGAGGAAGGAGAAGATGCGTTTTCGGAGAACTCTACTGTTTCCACGAGGAATTATCGGCACTCTATGCCATCACGTAGCTTGTCAGAGAAAAAAAAATCAGACGATAGTGTGCGCAACTCCAGATCTGTTCAAAGAGCATTGTCTACATCGAATAATTCGTCTGGCAGTGACAAATCTCATAAACCCAAACCTCCAATAGCTCCGAAACCGGTTTTGCCGCCACGTGCAAAGAAGCCGACGATGGCCGTTGCACTGTATGACTTTTCGGGAGAACAGGAGGGGGACCTTGGGTTTAGCAAAGGAGATCTCATTGTGATTATAAAAAAAACGGAATCCACTAATGACTGGTATTGAATTTACGTTGTCTTTTTCCGTTTCAATCGGTCACATGTTTACTATGATCTTATTTTAAAAACAGGTGGACTGGTAAATGCAACGGAAATGAAGGAATCGTACGTATTTTTCATTTTCTGGTCAATCATCAATTCTTATGCTTACCATCTGGTTTATTTCTAGTTCCCTGCGAATTATGTGGAATTAAGATAGCGGAGGGAAAAATTTTATTATTATTATTATTATTATTATTTTCTATTTTTTTTTTATAACCTATATTGGAAAACGGACGCTAAAATGCCCCCAACATGAGCCACCATTTTATTCTATCCATAGTATTCTTAAGTAAATCCGAGTTCAATTAACGCCCATCCGATACCTACATTTTATATACTTGTATCATTTTTCCGATAAAAAATTTTTATCGACTTTCCATTCAAAACTTGTGCATAATCTAAATATTTAATTATTCAAAAGTGAACCAAATAAATGCTAAATAAAGACCTATGATGAAAAAATCAAATACCCTGATAAGTGTAATATGTTTCGATTATACAAGTTGTGGTTCAACGTTTCAAGGTCTTGTTATGCCCCGGAATTTGGTCATAAAATTTTTTCACGTGACTAGAACCAAGAAATATTCAAGAAATAAAGCGAATACCTTCTACCGTACAAGATTTTCGTGACCATCTGCCTCTTTGCAATACCAGGTCGAACTATAACTTAAGTATAAAAAATTTTTCGATTCGCGCCGGCAATTTTACTTCGCATCCTACTTTAGCCTGTGCCAATTCGACACTCGCGTCAAGAACATACATCAACAACTTTCATGATGTATTGCTGCCATGATCATTAGCAGCTTACCGAGATTGCGGAATTTCTTTTCGAAGAGACAAAGGATTGGCTTTCTATGTGTATTGCACAATTGGTGTAAATTGTTAAAAGGTCCACAGCCCGGAAAGTCCCGGTTAGATCAGGCACTTTTTGAATCGATCCTCGAATTTTATAATGGGAATAGACGAGATGCCTCCGAAAGTGAATTCAGACACATACGACGTACATTCCGCCGCACATATGCCGTTTCTTTATGGATCGTGTTCTGATTCGTTTTCTCTCATGACACAATATTATGACATTTTTGACACTGCATTTATCTTGTATGACATTTGTCTTGTGGGATCAGGATGAAATCGTATCTTCATTCACATAATCAAATGGATTGCTCGAATATCTGTGCATTTTTCTTTAATTTTATGGAACACCCCTGCTTCATATATTTCCAATTTCAAATTTCACATGTCAAAATTCCCATTCGGTCGATTAACGTGCAGCAAATGTCGCACTTGTCAATTGGACGAGATATCGAACGGTCAATGCTCACTCTCATTATTTCCTCTCACAAATAAAAAAAAAAACGGATCTTTTTTTTTTCAACATGAGATATCTATTCTATTGTTTATAATTGTTAATGTCAGTCTCATATTATTTACGCCGAGTACGCACGAATGATTGCACCCTTTGCGTACGCTAAATATAGTCATTGCCTATTTCAACACGCTCTAAATCATCATTCTTGAATTCTTTCTTCGATTTTCTGTGCGCCCGGGCGTTCGTATTTCGAAAACAACAGGACATGAGATGATGAGGGTGGGTTGGATTATTATATTAATTTGTCAGATGCACGAATTTTAGGGCATGTTGATGTAACACACCCGCAGAGTGTTATGTATTGTGCGTTGATAATTTCTTTAGATAAGATGGCGACTGTAAAACATGATGATTTGAGATGCGCCAATTACAGTATTACGCTTGTACGCATACCCTTTCCATTCACAATCCAAGAAGCGACGGAGTTTTCATCCGCCGCCGTCAACAGAAAATAGAGGAAAATCGCTTTACTATTGAAGGCTACGTTTATGGTAAAAGTGAGAAGGGAGCCAGCTTTAAACGTTAAATATACTGGACGGATATATCCGAGACCCAGTTCTACCATGTGATTGACTGCATAGGTGTTGAATGGGGCCACGCTGCTGTAAGAAATTAAACAATACGAAAAACAAAAAAAAGAGAAAGTATTTATATTTCCGGATCATAAAGTTCGCACATCGTAGAGTAAAAAGGCAAAGCATGCACGCTGTAGAAGATGAGTCCAGAGGAAATTTGGGAAAGGCGGCGAAGAAGACAAATTTGGAAGACAATACTAAGGATTTTTCGAATTCGAACTTATCGGATGCAACGTTTTTCTGTTTTGCTGCTGCCGTGATGAAATTCTCACGTATCCTTTTTTCGCCTCTTTCTCTTTCCTTCTTTCCTCCTTCTTTTTGACACAGTATCAGGGGAGGAGGGGTAAATCCATCGTTATCAGATTCGTTTCAAGTGGATGTCACATGCGTCTCTCTCTCTCTCTCTCTCTCTCGCATTTTTTTTTTCTTGCAGAATTCTCACCCTGAACATGAAAAAAAAAAAATCCCAAAGAATTAGAGCTGATTGATTCTTTAGCTTAAAATCCTGATGCACACAAACAATCATGCAAGGAAGACGAACCGTCAATATGACCAATTCTAGATTAATGATAATAGTAATAATAATAAAAAGTATTTGCCATTGATGATTTTTAGAATCATTAATTCCACATTGGTCGAACTAGTGCTGCTATCTATTGACGACGTTTTTGGCATTTTCAAGAACCTTTACTTGAAATGCTCCCGAAATTTCCTTGCAAAGTACATATGTACGTGTGCATACATGCGTATGACTCGCCTGTGAAATCTTTCAAGGTCAACCTGAAAATTTCCACAATATTGATTGGCCTTTTCGGGAGATACTCATACAGTGCGTAATAAACTTTATTTTATTAATAGCATACACTTACCCACACGCATTATCATCATTATTATTATTATTGCTATTTACCATCATACTTTGCACAAATTCTATCGCGTACATCTACTGCCAAACTTGGTTCACTATACACTTCACCTTCCATAAGAAACTAATTATCCTGTGCCATCTTTCATGCACACAGCCCCAAAGTAAAAAAGAAGTATTGTTTATTTAATCACGATAATTAAAGGAATTCAACCATTATCATCATAATTCCTTGATTATAATGAACCTATAATCGAACAATGTGAACAAGTTCTGATCCAGAATTAAGAGAACAAATCACCTTCTTTTTTAAATGATTTCTTGCTCTCGGTGTCCTATTTAGTTCGACGACGAATTCCTGTTTCAACTCTTTTGGATTCAATGAATTATCGTCTTGATCTCTCCATTTATCTCAATGAATTCTTCTTTCACTCGGTACAATGAATTCTGGTCCTCATTCCCACATTTGGCACAATGAGTTCCTGATACAATGTCCTTGTTTAATTCAATGAATCTTGTCGTTTTACTTTCTTTATTGAGTCTCGTCGTGTCACAAATTCTTGTTCCTGTGCCATCATTATTTTTATGATGCGGGTTAGGAAATTTTGGTACTATGTGGTTTACATATTGGTAGGGCTTATACGAGGTTCCCTCAAGATAGGAAACACTGGACACTATCGCTTCGCAAGCTAGGGCTTATACGGTGTCACAACGGTCTGGACTTTACTTGTATCGACAGATATGGAAACTCTTGTCCACCATTTTTTTCAAGCAAGTTAAGGCTTATGCTATATTTGGATTTTGGTTATTTAGCGTGGGCTTATATGGTATCGACCAAGATCTTCCTGGTCACCGAACAGAAACCCGATCAGTTTCAAGTTTTTTCCTATCTTTCTTTTCTTGATCAATGAAACGTAATCTTAACATGTCACCGGTTCATCAGGGAGATCCGCTTTTCGACCCGCGCGCATACACTTCTCCCGAGTGCAGTTCACACACACATTTGTGCATACAATGAGAATCACAAAAACGGTACTCAAACTCACAAAGGTAAAAGAAATTTCCCGGCACGACTTGTTGGCATACGGATTTTCGTGCTATCCTGGATGTCGTTCGTTTGGACCCATGTGTTTTTCTGCCCGGTCGGAAAAATGTCCTTCCTGATCTTCAGAAAGAAAAAGAATCTTGGATGTTTGTTTTCAATTGTCGATAAAAAAAAAAAAAAATCCTTTTATGGCATGTCTTTATCTCATCTCGGGTCATTGCATGCACCGAGTCTTCTGCTATGTGCAATGTGGCTTACGAGTTCGTGCGACTTTATTTATACATGGGATACATTCCTTTTCGATTTCAAGCATAATACAGAAAATAAATGATACAGTAAAATATGTCATGGCAAAGGATTTGCACTGAAATAATAATAATAAACATCATAATAATAGGCGAAATAATATAATGCGCGATTAAATGTACAAAAAACGTTCTTTATGCGCAATCCGTAAGTTCACATTCTTCGTTACGTGTCAATCACTTCTTTACATGATGAATGGATCATTCATGTTAATCTCGTGAGACCTGGATTTCACCATGTTCATTGTTAGAAGAGTTAAAATGCACGCATTCACGTACCGTACGTGTGTATGATATATGTATGTATGTATGTATGTGTACTCACGCGCTTAATTGAGGTCTCTGCAAGTGTTTACCGTGAAGTATTCGACGAATATTGTTCAGCAGTTCGTTGTAAGTTTGGGTTTTATCGGTTGTAAGACTGTTGAAATTTTGTCGAGGTGGCGCAATAGTATGTGACAAAACTAGAATCAGAAAATGTCACACGCATAATTGAATAATTCCAATATTCTTAACTTACGCCTCGATGAAAGCATGTGACATCGCGCCGGAGGATACTCCGTTGACAGTCACATCCGAAGAAGTCTGCTCGTCCTTACACCTTTTGGCGCATGATTCGAGAATGAGGATTAGAAATTTCTGTCGCGATCTTCGGGAAAATGGAAGAATTAGGGAGTACACGATGCTCACCCGCTGAACATGATAACGTCGGCAGGACTAGATTTCGTTTCATAATTCCTCCTCCTAATGTTTTCGCCTAATTTTCCATGACTCCTTTAAACATCAATATCATCATCACTCGCTTAACAAACACCACAAATAAACTCACCAGCCTGTGTATTCTTCTTCCTTCCACCTTCTATGATCTTTGGTTGCTTGATGTACCCACGGGTGGAGTAGATGTATGGCAGATCGAGCACGGTTCCCGAATGACACGAATCAAAGATTGCCGTCAATCTCACTCCTGATAATAAATGACGACGTGAGATTAATAATAGACCGCATCTTAAGAGAAGTTCGTGAATATCCTCGAATCATACCAGGTGGAAGACTATCGACCATTATATAATGCATCTCCTATTAATCGAATGTGAATGAAACGTACAACAACGCGTCAATATCCATTCTCCTCTCACGAGACAACAATTTGCATCCCCCGGACCACTCACATCGTCGACGATTTGACCTTTCGTCTGGAAATCTAATGGCATGATGGTCTCATCATATCCATCATCCTCATCACCTTTAGGATCGACCTGTTGTCCTCCGTGTCCGCTGTAATGGAAGAAGTAACTACGAGAAAAATGGTCGAAAAGGAAGAAGGTTATGCACACGCACGCACACGCACGCACACACGTGCGAATGCAAGAAGATATTTGTTCTCTTCACTCACGAGTCACCCTTCTCAGGATTGGCCACGAGAGCCTTCATGGCCTTGATGCAATTCTCTCTGGTGGGAATTTTTGTTGGATCCTTTTGGTCGTCGGTCAACACGGTTACGTTTTCTTCGGGGAATCCCCAGTATTTGATCAAGAAATTCTTTATGTTGCGAACATCATTGATGCAACCTGAGATCAAGACACGGTGAGCGTTGTTAGCATCATTGAATCGCGGCATACTGCCCAAACCTAATGCTTCGATAAATGTCAAATCCAAAATTACCGTTCAGATTATGCGGCGTTCCAATATAATTGATTCCAATTAAAAGAGCCCTCTTGCGATTATCACAAGGGCAAGGTATAGGATCACGGTGTTCTTTCTTGTGAGGCTTGACGAAATACGAATATTCCTCTGGCAATCCCGACGGCTGTTCGGTCGGCTTCTCAATTTTAACGTGAGGCGACGAATAATCGATACCGAGGTGAGCATTAAAGTATTTGTCGAAATCCAGATTGGTGGTCCAGAATGGCTTTGTGAAATTGATATCAAGGCCCAACCTTGCGAATTCCTCTTGCATTTCCACCGGAATGTCATCACCGCTGTAGGTGAAAGTCTTTACTTCGGCCGGTTTTCCGTTGGTGGAGGAGGATATCGTAAAGGTGGTGGTGGAGGAAGACTTGGTCGGATCAAGCTCCTTGAAAAAATCATCGTTCATGAGATCTCCGCCGGTGGTGAAGGTCATTACTCCGGCCGGATTACGCCCCTTGAAGAAATCATCGTTCAGGAGATCTCCGCCGGTGGTGAAGGTCTTGACTTCGGTCGGACCTCCGTTACTGGCACTGGAGGTTATGTAGGTCGTGGTGGCACTTGATGAGTCATCATCAGAGATGCCACTTGAATGAGTGGTGGTGGTGGTGGTGGTTATGGTTCTACCATCCGTGCCCACCTTTCTTTCGGTTTTAGTTTCAACAAAAGAGGTCATTAATCCGTCAGATTCGAGAGAGGATTGCGGTTGGAAAGGGAAGAATTGAAAAAGAAAACTCAATTTCAAAGATATACTTTCTCCAAATTGCCAAATGCGGCTGTATTACGTTACTTTGCGCGGCAAACAAAAGATGAAGAAAAATAGCAGCGGCGCAAAGGCATACCAAATCCAGGAACAATCAATACTAATTCGAGTAATTATTGTGAATGCTCAACTGGAAATTTTGAAGTGCAAAGGAATTTCTTTTGTCAGATGGCAGTAAGATGTTCGAAATTGGAATTTTCCCGGTGAGATCTTGTCGTTTTTGGAAATTACAATGACTCTTCAGGAATAACGCCACCAAAAGTGCGAGGTTCATTTGCGACAGATGATTCGTGGAGCACCTTGAAAACTTTTGGCCGATGAAAAATTCTCGACCTCACACTTACATGCGTTACATGTAATTTGTGTCCGTGGTGGCATGACGAATCTCTGCGACACTCGCACGGACACAAATTTTTTTCCCATTCCCCGGCCTGGCTAAGATTCACCTTTCGAATCACCACCCTCAGAATATCTGCGTGTAGACGAATTCACACGAGGGGACGTGACGCCCGCCCGGGGTTTAAAGAAGTTATTTCATTCCAAATGTGTCATCATCATTCAACTTTGTTTGTCATCCCCATCGCGTCATCAATTTCTTGCATGCGAGTTTACCAGTCATCGCCGGTTTTTCCAAACGACAGTTTTGCATTGTTTACGTCATTTGACATTAAAGACGACAAAATCTCGACACTCTCATTTATCCTTGATCGCACGAATGATGTCTTCATCTTGCACTCTGGTTACCCGGTGGAACGGACTTACTTAATATTTGATGTGCATCAATAAAAGGTTTCACCGTCCCTCTTATTAAAGGAAGATTGAGACGGGTTCAGGTGATGAATTTGACATATGACGCTTGTTCAAAAAAAGCAATGTTGACAAAAATATAAATTTATTTATCCTTTTTTTCTTTTTCTTTGACGCGCATTATCTTTAGGAAATCTTGACCGGTTTGAAAGAAAAAAAAAAAAAAAAGATTCGTCATCGGGACTGACCTTTTTGGCAAAACATGGTCATCATGAATACTGAATGACATTTGAGGATAAGATGGCATTACGGAAACAATTCCCTCTTCTCTCTTTCGAAATACAACAATAGAGAAATTTGCTTTTTTGAGAACGGGCGAACCAATCAAACAGTAAAATGAGAAACCAAACAACAAACAAACAAACGAGAAATGAAACCGGTATTCTGCCGTTTAGTAATTTACCCCTGCGTTCAACTATAACTTTTCTGCTGCTTGGAAAAATAATAATTTCCGGATCTAAAACAAGGTTTTATTTCCACCCGTCACACGAAATTCCAAATAATGCCAAACAATATCACACGTTTTGTGCAACACAGATTGTCTTGGACCTTTGAAACGCCCAACCAGGCTTCGTCTCTTGGGCATCCTGTATTTGGAAGGTTTTCCTCATTTCATATCCGACATGCGATTGAGATCTACTGAGGATGAGAATGAAAATGGAAACGGAAATGGAATTTCCGCTAACACGTTTTCCCATCTTCATGCGGATGACAAGGCAAGGGATGAAGGAATCCTATTTCTCGACGCAGATACGCAGATTCAGGATCGTCATTGAAATGGAGAAAAGAGAGTTCGAATGTCACCAATCAGTGCCAAATGGGACCACCAAAATCATGCCATACCCCAAGTACATCAATTCACCTGCCCAATATTATCCATAAAAAAAAACACCCATTGTAGACGAGAATGGAATTTTCAGGCCATAAACTATCGAAAATGAGCGAGAATTCATCTATTGGCACGACACCTCATCCTTTCTATACTATATTTAGGTTAAATGTTGTAGTTCCACTAATTTCTTCTAAACCTCCGATCGATTCTCTGGTTCAATTCTTGATCTTTTCTGGTTATGTTTGCTGGCTATTATTTCCTAATAAAGAATACAGTTGGCGGAATTCCCAAACAGAGTACACAGGCTAATCTATTTGCTTACATCAAATGAAAACCTTTTTGCCTCATTCACCTACACACCTCTCTTGTGGTGTGCGCATGCTTCCATTGAGAGCCATGTTGGACACAGGATTGCCAATACAAAAGATTCACGTAAAATGCCCATTAAAGAGCGAACGAATGATGTTCCCACCTGGCCCACACAGAATTGCCTTCATTATTAACCTTTTACAAATGTCTTTCTAATCAGGATTAAATTTAAATCCAGTTTAGAGTCGAATTAACCAATTCTCCCTGTGATTGTTACCCACCACCTTATCAACCATTAACAACTTGACGCAAAAGCAATAAATAATATTAGTCAGCTCTCGGGTGGTAAAAGGTAGGCATGATAATTATATACGGCGGTACGGTATTTGCACACGCACACACACACACACATATTTATCATTTAATTTATACACGGTACATATGGTTACAGCGGGTGTGCCTATTAGTATTGTCGGCGCTAAACCTTATCGGAGACCTTTTTTCCTTTTCTTTTTAATTGTCTCTGAATTGGTGAAAGTTGGTGGAAACACAGGGATATATGTGTATATCAAAGAGGAAATTATGTGCGCATATTGTCTTCCGAGTCCTGACTGTGCCGTTGTTTGGTTAATTACCGGTTTGTTGCTGCCGTCGCGGTTATGCTGTATCATAATATTATCATCAAGTTATGTGTGAAAAAGGAATTAATTGCATACTGTGCAAAAAATTTCTATAAACCGTCTAACAGAAAGTTGTAAATCGAATGGGCCGAATTACCGAATGTCATTACATCTTATTGTATAAACAATAAAAATCCTAAAAATCCTCATTTCCCTAGTTCTTTAAGTTTCCTTTTTGGTGAATGAATGGTTCCATATTATATGTTTTCCATTTATGCTGTGACATCCTTTTGACCTTTATTGGGACACGATAGTGTGATTCTGGCCTCTTTTTTTTTAAGGTTTTTCTTGAAGAAAATATGAAAAATGTAATGTCGTTCCATTGTTTCCCTATATTCCCTATATTTCATATTAAAAAAAAAAAAATTTTTTTTCTACACATACTGTATTTTGCAATGATACAATTAAAAATACACTTTATTTTATTTTATATATTTTTTTTTTATTACGAGCACAACAGTTTAATAAGGAAATCACCGCCTGGTCGAGATATACTGATAAGCTATTTGATCTTATGAGCTATACTTATTCACAAAGAAGTCTCTTAGATCTTCCACTATCATTTTTCGATTACCATTTCAAGCTAAGAATGCATCTCGAAATAACATATAAAGTCCGTCTCACCCCGTATTGTTCAGTTCACAAATCCTCTCTACCTTTCCCAAAAAAAAAAAAAAAAAAAAAAGGAGAAAAAAAAAAAGAGAAAAAGATTTTTTTTTTTTTTTTTTGGTAATATTAGGAATACATAATAAATCTAATAATAGTAATAATAATAATAACAATAATATAATAATATTATTATAATAATCGTAATCATCATAATATCAGGATTCGTCTCGTCTTCTCTCTTCTGTCTCGCAATCGCCGGCAAATTTATGCAAGGAAAAACGCAAGCATAAGAAGAAGAAGAAGAAGAAGAAGAAAATAATAATTAGTAAAGGTGAAATGTCCTTCTACTGTTTTGAAACTAGACAAGACCGAACTTTGGCTCCCTATCCACCGCCCGAATTTAGCCAGCAAATTGACCGAATGTCGTCTAATGATATTGTTGACCACATAATCGCCACCAACATTGACCCCTCGACCCTCGTAAAGATTGAGAAGCAAATTGCGGTCCCGCTTCGTCAACTCATCTCTCCGAGGGAAAACCGTCGACGCAGGTGCATCCCGAGACCGCAAAACAATTTCGTGCTGTACAGAAGAAATTTTCATGCGGTCATCACGAGGGAGAGGGGACACGCGGTGGCGAAAAATTTCAAGCTCATCTCAAATGAGGCGGCCAAGAATTGGTCGGAGGAGAGTAACGAGGTGAAACAGCTGTACGAGTTGATAGCCGATTGCGCAAAGAAAGTCCACGATTGTACATACCCGCAGTACGTCTATCAACCCAAGCATAAATCTTCGAAAAAAGGAAACAACACCATATTTCGTGAGGTGACCATGGACACCTGCAAGCAAAAGACGAAATCCGACCGCGGCTCCTCGAGAAATGAAAAATCGCCATCACACTTGAAATCATCCACGCCGTCCATCAAATCCCTGGCAGCATCAATGACCTCAACCATGACGACCCTATCAATGGACCCCACACCACCAAATTCCTCGATATCTTCCATATCGTCACACTTAAAGTCATCTCCGCACGCCGAACTTCATATGTCATCTGTCTCGCTCGTCAAGGATGAATCAAAGGAATGGCGCTGGGCGCATTGTCAATCAGAATCGTTCAGACAGACGCCTCCGGACTCATACCAGCAACCCCTTCCACCACCTCCATCCCAACCACCCAATTCGATGCAAGGTGTCGAGAAGATTCCCGCGCAACAACCTTCGATGTCAACGAAGCTTCTCCCACCAATCGACATTCCAATTTCCACGAATTTCATGGAAGGCTATGACAAAAATGTTTGGAGTTTGGTCAACGGATACACCAATTTGTAAATAAAACATCGCGCATTATTTCATTCATAGTGGGGTTGCGATCTTGGAAACTTGACTCTATTATGTTTATATACTTTTCTTTCCCCCTTCCTTCCTTCATTTCTTTTTTCCCCCCTCAATTGTTGACGTTGAATGCGAGATCGAGATAGGAGGCATCTATATTGGCATTTTGACATTGGGATCCGTAAAATTCATTCCGAATATTTGCATGCGTCAGGGAAAGTCGGTGGTTTAAGTTGGCACGGAGATCGAACAACGGATGATTCGAAGAAACTTTCATTTCTCGAGTTTCTCATTTGTTTAATATATTATTGCATTTGTTCATATTTCAACATTTCGAAAAAAATAACAAAAAACAAAAAAAAAAAAATGTTAGCAAATTGTTTATATTTATATATACATATATATATTTCAGGTCTTGAGAAAAGGATCCGCCATCTTTATTCTTGAGTTAGGAGAAAGGTGTGCACAGTTGGTTGTTACAGTTGTTATTT